GCATTAGCGTTTATTTCACACTAGCATTCCAGCAGATGACTATGTCTCAAATGCAGGTTATAGTTTTCTCGTATCTATTACCAACACACATGTATTTAGCTTTATATTCCTGGCCCATATATGTGTATGTACATAGATCTACATCTACATGGATCATAACTTACGATCCATTGAGATTGATAAATACTGGTCAAAAACCATAGTTGATAAGATATGCGAACACGCAATCTCACTCTTATCATCTCGGTTTTACTCTGAACCATACATCTAAATACAATTGTTCCCACTCGGATCTACCTCTCACAACCTCATACGAGACTTGCTGCATCGGTCTAACCACTGACACTGATTCCGCTACAACCTCCATCTTTGCTCAAGCTCATAACTTTAACACTATCAACAAACTCCTTCCGGGTCTAATTGGCACGTCGGAAGGGGCAATCTCTATGTCTAAATGGCTAGAAAATTCTAGGTTTTTCGAAGGAATCTGCCCACAGTGAGAGGCCGACTCACCTTTTCGTTTGTTTTGATTGGGGGCTCCATGGACAGAGCGGGGTAGAGAGACTGCTTGATTGCTAGTCTTGAGGTAGTGGAGATCCCATCCTTTTTTGTTTTTCTTTGGCTTAAGCTTATCCATCATTTTCTGTGCGCAGTTTCACATAATGCGGCATAGCTCTGTATTCTAGACTTTTAGTAGTCCCATGGTGTCTAGAGCTCCTGCTCTAGCGTCCTTTGCTCTTCATAGGGATAAAAGTGCGCGTGCCTAAAGACCACGCGCAGTGACAGACGTTAAATAATATCATCATCATCATCATCATTAGATATTAATGCTTGAGGGATACAGAGGAAATAGATAGAATATACCACTTGTTTTTTAGTACTTTTAAGGCATTAAACCAAGTGAGCCCTACTGTAGCAACATTTTGTTTATTTTGTCTTAAGCTAAAGCTATTTTTTCCACATTGGGTCAAGGACAGGTAGAGCCAGTAAGGATCACTGTATACATGCCCAACTCATTTCAACCGCGTGAACTTCCACATAAATGGTGGTGTTAACATCAAACCAAAAATCAAAAACTTAAATCAAAACCAAAAATCAAATTTAGAAGAAATCCCTGTAGGTCCGGATCCTGCGCTTCTCGCCCGTTCCCTTTCCTGTCACATCTTCCAAGTGACACTTTCTGACCTTTGCTGAGAGCAGAAGATGAGCTCGCAGGCACCCTTTTCCCATCTGGTGTCCTACTGTTAGTATGTTGAAGCCTCGACGACTTCACTGAGGCTGGCCGCAACCTTAAACCTCCTCTCCGGATGCCAGAATTCCAAAACCTGATCCGTCTGACATATAGACGTCATTCTTCGCGCCGTGAATCGCCTGAATGGCTATTTTGGCTGCAGCTCTGATGCGAGTAAAATCTGCGTGATTTTTCTGCTCGATCTTGCGAATCATTGCAAGCTGCTTTTTTTTCACCGGGCCGAACTTGCTGGGCCTGGCTTTGCAGTACCGCGAGTCCGATTGATGAGGTCCCCCACAGTTTCGACACCGTGTGGGGGCTTTGCACTCCGTTTCAGAATGCATTTTTGATCCGCAGTTCCAGCAAGCCGGAGCGCGGGAGCAATTGCATGAGGCATGGAAGCCAAGACATTGATTACACTGAACTATTTTTCGACGAGGTCGGAAGAGCTTTGCAGCTCCGGAGTCATCGAAGAGGCGAAATCCAGGTCGGGGCGTGGATTCGCGAGGGAATAGCGCTTGCCAGTTTTGGTATGGCGCTCCATGTTTGCAGGTCCTGTGAAGACGAATAAGAAAAGGAACTGATTTGGTCACTCGCGTGACTTCGTCGGCGACCATCTTTTCTGTGATGAAAACAGAACCTGTGAGTGTATTAATTCTCAGCGGGACGGTGGCAATTAGTAGGGCAACCAGATTTGACGCTGGTTCCAGTTTGATTCCCGATTCTCTCCGTTCTACAGAGGAATCAAGGAGCTCTTTTCGAGCGAGTTCATCCTTTGCTGTTAGTGCAAAGCCTGTTTTGACCCGCTGGACCAACGTGATGTTGTTAGCCGCGGTACCGAGTGCCTCTGAGACAGCTGATCTTACGCCAGCTGGTGCGAGGAGTCGGTGGGGATGGTCGTTATTGAGGCGTAGAAACAGTCGCGTATCGATCGCTGTCCTCGTGTTGGCTCCCTTTGCTTTTGGAGCGGGCGGGGCTGCCGTTTTTGTTGATGGCCCAGTGCTGTGGCCAAGGCATGCTCGGGCTAAATTTGCCCAAGTTATCTTTTGGGCCGGAGCCTGGGTTGTCGTAGGGTTTTGAGCTCTAATTTCATGAGCCCTCGGCGGAGGAGGATTGCTGGGGCGCACAGGGAGAGCTGGTGGTGTGCTCCCTGGGCCTGATTGTATGAACTTGCCAATGGCCGCTCGAAGGCAGACTTTGATACCGTCTACAAACTCTTTTTCGTCGCCAATCGAGAGAGGCGAAAGTGCTGCTTCAACACTGATTATTGCGGTGGAATAGATTGATAGACGTGCTTTTATTTGCGTCTTGCGACGTTTCTCGGCTTCCATGACTGATTGCAGCTCCGGAGAATATTCCGGTACTGATGTCGAAGCTGTGCCTTTGGAAGCTGGCACACCTAAATTTCTTGCAGAAGTATCTGCTTTTTCTGTCGTCTTCTCTCGGACGACTTCCTTTCCTTTCCTTGAAGTGCTTGCCTCCGGGGCAAGCTCCATGGGAATGTTGGTCTTGAGATCAATTTTCTCTGACCTAACGGGCTCAGAATCAGTCATCTCTTTATCGGGAAGGTTTGGAGACTTCCCTTCGATGAAGGCCTCACTCGCAAACATGCTTGAAAGTTTTTGAGCGAGGCCTGGTGTTTTTGCAGGAGCCATTGGGCGGACTCTCGCGTTGTCCAACATTGCGTTGGGGAGCTTTTTTCGAACAGGTGGCATGATAAAAATGCCAGCGGCTCGATCACAATTTATTGATGAAAGCGACGAGCGCGAGAGGGAGGGAGAGGGGGAAAAAGTGAAGATTCGAATTTTCGAATTTCAAAAAATTGTGTGTGTTGTGAGCTAACACAACGTTAAATAATAATAAAAATAAATAAAAAGCCGTAGCTTCCCGCTCGTAATTTCCTCATAGAAAATATAAACATTTAATTGTGGCATTGCTTTAGTGCATTGGCCGAAAGTCCTAGCCCGTCACAGTAATGTCTCTAACACCATTTGTGTTACTCAATTTATAGCTTGCACTGAAGCTTCTTGAGTCAATCGCTTTCTTTTGATTTTCTTTTGCCCAAAATTCAGAATCTAGATTTCAAAGCACGATATCCAGAAGGTAGAAGGTCTTTCCACACTTATTCCAAAAGTGCGATCTGGGACGGATCAAGCAAGTATCTTTTAGGTTGCTTCTTCCACTACCATAACTGATGTCATTAGCATCGGGACTTTGACGGAATTAATACTATCTGATATGCTTGCTCCAAAGACCAATATACAATTAGCACCGGTTTCATGTTGTGTTATTGAGTCATCCGGGAATTTATATGTCGAAGAATTTCGATTCTTCCTCCTCCAACCGCTTGAATTTAAGCCCCTAAGTTTACAATAGTGCACTATATGATCATAGAGTTTGAAAGGCTTAGCTGTCTTGCTAAGCTGAATTCTTTTATGCGTAGAGGCATACATATGTATGATTTTTTAGTATGTGGAGTAAAATACGTGCTGGTTCAATTGAGCTGGCTTATATATTTTTGGCTTAGGCCTTAGCAAAGGAATAGCTCTCCCCAGCTTTATTTGAACTGACGTTGCCTGTTTTACGCTTGAGTTACTGGCTCTCATCTCTTGCGCACTATTTGGCACTAAAATTATCTGGTTGTGGAGATCGATAATTTTTTTTCCCGTGGGGAACTATTAGCCCATAATGGCAGCTGGATTCTTTGCTGCTATTTATTATCTGTCAAGAGTCTTCACTGGTCTTGCAGAGCTTGCCTGGTATTTAATAATTGGCTCCGTGGTAAGAGCAAGGATAGATTTTGAAGCTTTTACCTCTCGCCCTATTTCGATGCGTTGTTTTGTAACTGGGCTGCCAAGATCTAAAATTTATCTATAGCCTCTTCTCCTAGAGCTTCTCCATTCGCACCAACAGCATTTCGAAGCTTTCAGCCTAAGATTGATTCTAGTAGGTTGATATACTCGCCGAATCTCAATTCTACCCCTACTGATTGTGAGTCAATAGTCCTAAGTTTTTCTACGGTAAAGTTAATAAAACTATACACATTGAGTAATTGATTTAATGATATGAACATTGATAAATAATATAGTAGATCAGCTCCAGGATTTGGTTATGAATAGTAATTATTTTTACCGTGTCCGAGAATGCCGAGACTGACTTCTATATACTATATATCTCTGAAAATGTGTTGGAGAAATGCGTTCTCCGAATGATGTCAGGCTCTTTAGCCGAGTGGATGTATTTATATACCTGAAGAAAAATGTAGATTTTCAGCCTCAGGCCTAGCTACCTCGTCGTATAACTAATCTTTTACCCTATTTCTATACAACGCCCCTTGAGGAAAGCCGATCTATATGCCTAGATACTACACTTTTTGGGTAAGAAGGTAACCAGCTATGCTCTAGAGCGACGAAAAATTGGTTAGAAACATTAGGCTGAGAGGAATTCAATCAAATTTACTGAGTTGGCTTCAAGTACCTGAAAACAATAAACTAGAGTCTACTGTTTTTATCTGGAGGCGTCAAGTATTAATAGGTTGTTGTGAAACTTATTTACAATGGATCAAAATCAGGACGAAGATGAAGTGAAAGTAGTGGTGAAGAGGCATGGGAATGTTTGGCTTCGGTTCCTATAGACACAAATCTCTAAATTTATTTTATTATAAGCCCTTTGATGATTGCAAAAAACCTTATGCAGAATTGTTCAGTCAAAGACACGCCTTCAAAACCTCTCAGGATAGCTGACAGTTTATCAGGCGAAAAAAATCAAATTAATCTGTTCCAATTATTTTCCATAATGCTGCACGAGTCTTTTCATCAAAGTTTTGCTGAAGTACTTTATCTAGATCTACCTCGATTATCTCTCGCTTTTCTTTATCACCCACAGCCAGCTGTGATTGCCATGTTTTTGTAAATGCCGTTATTTGCTGCACTAAAATATTTTCAACCTCTTTCCTCGCATCTAATACACGATCTATAACCGCAGGTAAGAGTCTGCCCCTGACGAGTGGCGTAATGTAAGCTAGCGGATTAAAAAGCTGTCTTTGGGCTTGTAAATCAGAAATTGTGCTCCAAATAGGCGAAAAATCAAATTCAGCGGACTGACGGACTAAATCTGGTATCTCGTGTGTCATGAAGAGATTTTCTAGAAGAAGAAGATTTTTGATAAGAAAAATTTGTGCATCCATCATATTAGAGTTTCGCTTGATAAGAGTAGCAGCTTTTTGTAAGGATTTAGTTGTCTGGTGGACTATCTCATACAGAATTTCACTAGTTCTCTGAATGATTTGGGTTAGCCCTGCACCTAAAATGTTAATTTGGAGTTCTAAGTGACTCACAGGTCGCTCTGCAAAGCCATCATTGTACTGCATCAGCAGTTTTGCAGCAACTTTTACCGTAGGATATGCGTAGGAAGTAAGACCACCTTCAGATATTTCTATATTATTTTCCTTTTCGTGACCTGAAATTTCCAGGGTAGAATCACAAGTGATAACAGAAATAGTGAGATCTTCTTGAGATGGTATGTAATGTTCAATGTCAATGGCACTTTTGAGGAACATCTCATCCATGAATTTCCAGAGGTAATTTCCCAAATAATGTTGTGCTATTGCTGCTCGATCAGTTTTTGAAATTTCCACATCGAGCTCCCCATCGGTTGATGTGAGATACATGATTTCGAGCCAGTTGACCAGTCCACATATCGCCTGTAGGTCATCTCCGCTCATGTAAGTCGTAAGATAACTGTGGAGGGTCTTAAGATATAGCAAGGTATTTTCTTCAAGTCTACCGGAATAATTATTATTTTTGTTCCAGCCATTTAATGTCCCGTAATTGGCCATTAATGGGCCGTCTTTGAAAAATTTCATCATGAGAGTTTGCTCACTGTTACAAATATCCAATACGTACTGGACAGCATGTCTTGCAAATGTTTCAAAATCGTTTGCAGGATCTTCTACCACCGTAAACTTCTTCAGATTTTTTGATACGACTTCATTGACTGGCTCCCTATTTTTGAGATAGATATCAACAATCTGACTCCAGAGTTCATGATATCGTAGGGCATATGGGGGAAGATTATGCTCTTGACCCAATGTTCCAAAGGTGAATTCGGGATATTTCAAGAGCCCCTCGATTTGGGAGCCTAGCTTGTACTTGATAGATTCGTACTTTCCATAAAGCAATACATATTCCGCTGTTTCAGTGTGATCTTTTGAGCGAAGCTCTTGGATGACTTCATCCGTCACTTCCTTGAAGCAATACGAAATATGATTCTGAACAAGATTCAGAGCCCTTTCAAGTAGGGATATGTAACGAGACTGATAGATAGAAGAATCTCGATAGTCTGGCTTTATAATTTCAGCAATTACTTTGATCCAATCTTATATGATTGAGATGCAGTTTTTCATCTCAGTTAGGAGTTAACTTACATGTTGGCTCATAAATTCGATACATGCGTTAAGGTTCAGGAGCGATTCCAGGAAATCATCGCTATTAACTAGTCGGCCAGATCCTGGGGCATTCAGTCGTTTTGTCAGAGGCTCTAGATAAGAATAGTACTGGAGGTCTTTTCCAATTCCATCTACTAGATCTATCAGTCGCTTTTGATCAGACAATAATTCTTCACATTGCCCCTGGAAGGTACTCGTCTCGGATTCAACAGACTTAAATGATCCTGAAAGACTCCCAAGTAGATCCAGAACAGAGGCTGTATCGACTATTATTTCATCCAAACAACTTTCAGTGTATGCAAGCTGGTCTCTGTATAGCCTGGTCGAGCGTTAGGGCGGCCGCCAACCCGTAAAAGAGATCAGATCAACAAACTTATATTCCGTGAGGTGTTGGCTCAAAAACTCTTCATACTTTTCCTTGGAATTGCAAATACTATGATCCACAGGGTGGGTTAGGTCTAATGATTTAATAAAGTTTGTAGGTCTCGTTTCTATTTTAGAATGTGCGGCTGCCACATCATCACATTCACATAGTGATTTTGGTCTTCTGACAAGAGTCGTCATTTGTATTAAATTTATTCCTTATTCCACTTCCAATATAATTCGATATTAATTCAGCCGAGGTTTATCGTTGCTAGCCTCCAGGAAAGAGTTTCAGACAAATGCTAGAATACTTCGGAGTTTCAGTATTTGTTGGCTTTGATGAAATTTTTAAGCAAGCCTGTGAACTTTGTGAAGATGAGCCATAATTTTCTTCTTGTGATTGAAAATGTCTAGGCATGAAATATTGTCTTCACTTAGGAGATGTTGTATTCCAGCGTACATGTAATCAATACAACTGTTCTGATACGCATTTGGACCAGTGAGGCTACCCGCTATTACCAAGCATGGATAATTACATAAACGGAATCGCGCGTTTAAGCGCGTCCAACTAGATGAAGAGAAATCAAAAAATCTCTAATTGGCAAGCGTTTGGAATCACATTATAGATTGATTAATCCATACTAAAATGTCTGCCGCACAGCTTTTAAATCCCAAAGCTGAATCAAGGGTCTGCGGTAACAACTTATTTTGAAAAACAGAGTACTGACTATCTCAAGAGAAGAGGAGAAGCGCTCAAGGTCAATATCAGTGCTGGGGAAGGATTACAGGATGTTTTAAAATCAAATCTTGGTCCACTCGGGACAATCAAGATGTTAGTTTTAATCTAAAGCCTAATATTTAACTGACATATCTCAGGCTAGTTGACGGAGCTGGAGCGGTAACAAATCATTTTATTCTAACGCTTCGTTCTACTCATTAAATTCTATAGATTAAATTAACAAAAGATGGAAATGTTCTCTTGCGAGAAATGCAAATCCAAAATCCCACGGCGGTAATGATTGCACGAGCGGCCACAGCGCAGGACGATATTTGTGGTGATGGAACCACATCTGTAGTGCTTCTCGTCGGTGAACTTCTCAAACAAGCTGAAAGATACATTTCCGAAGGATTACATCCAAGAATAGTTACAGATGGGTATGAAATCGCAAAGATAGAGGCTTTAAAGGTACACAGTAGAGTTTTTCTATCCGAGGCACCACTAACTACTCCAGTTCCTAGATGAATTTAAGATGGAACGAGAGGTGGAAAGAGAGTTGTTACTGTGTGTCGCTAAAGCCTCTTTATCCACCAAATTAAATCATTCTCTCGCTGAAAAGCTCACCCCGGACATTGTTGACGCTGTACTTGCGATTTATCAAGCTCCTGCTAAGCCAGATCTCCACATGATTGAAATAATGAAGATGCAGCACAGGACAGCTTCTGAAACTCAATTAATTCGCGGACTCGCACTTGATCATGGTGCCCGACATCCCGATATGCCAAAGAGAGTTGAGAATGCATTCATTCTGAGCTTAAACGTCAGTCTAGAGTATGAAAAGTCCGAAATCAATTCCGGTTTCTTTTATTCAAATGCAGATCAACGAGAAAAACTGGTTGAAAGCGAGCGAAGGTTTGTCGATGAGAAGTTACGGAAGATTGTTGAGTTAAAAAAACAAGCCTGCGGAGATGATCCAAATAAAGGATTTGTTATCATCAACCAAAAAGGAATTGATCCTTTATCACTAGATGTCCTAGTCAAGAATGGCATATTTGCACTTAGACGCGCAAAACGTCGCAATATGGAAAGGCTTCAACTGGTCTGTGGCGGTACCGCCCAAAATAGCGTTGATGACCTAACTCTTGATATTCTGGGCTGGGCCGGAAATGTCTATGAACACACCTTGGGAGAAGAAAAGTACACATTTATTGAGGATGTAAAAGATCCAAAATCTGTGACCATACTGATTAAAGGCCCTAACTCCCACACAATAACACAAATATCCGATGCAGTCCGAGACGGGCTTCGAAGTGTCTACAATATGATTGTGGATAAGAGCGTGGTTCCTGGTGGCGGGTCTTTCCAAGTTGCATGCGCAGCGCATCTCAACAGCGAAACTTTCCGAAAGACGGTGAAAGGCAAGGCGAAGTGGGGAGTACAGGCATTTTCAGACGCCCTTTTAATTATTCCCAAAACGCTTGCAGCTAATGCAGGTCATGACATCCAAGATACACGTATGTTCAAATTTAAATAATTCAAGAAGATGAATATTACTAACACATGGTAGTTGCTAGCCTTCAAGATGAATATGCAGAGGGCAATGTAGTCGGAATAGATCTGAAGACTGGCCTTCCGATGGACCCGGCACTAGAGGGGGTCTATGATTCATTTCGGGTTCTCCGTAATGCTATCGCATCAAGCTCTGGAATAGCATCTAACCTTCTACTTTGTGACGAAATGCTTAAAGCAAGACAAATGAGTAGACCAGCTGGACCAGGGCCTGGAACTGATGAATAGTGAAAACAAAGTTATGATAAATTTATGTGTTGCATAAAGGATTTACTATTGAAAATACTCATATCCTTCTCTGTTACAGCGATACTTCCTAGTATCCTACAGCTAAGACGTAGTAACTACGGTTTAATTGCACCCTTAAGTGTGCGATATAATTAAATCCCGGAAAATAGGCTAATACGAAAAGTAACTGTGAACATCCTAATAGAATTTACTGTGGTGTTCGTCAACTATTTTAGCATAGAAGTTGTGCCGAAGCACTACTTCAGAGCGATATTCGTCTTCTCGGGTATAATTATATTCCCGATCGCTCTCATGTCAACAAATTGATAATCAGTCTATGTTTTCCGAATTATCTCTAAAAAGCACCCTTCAACTTGCATAATTTTATGGGCTGAATCTCGTTCCTGTTTTCTTGAGAATTATCCCACTTGTTTCCTATCGTCTATTATATCTAATTCCATGTTCTAGGTCCTTGGTATGGTCTTTTAAGTACTTTGGTCTAAATAATTTATAAAGGATACGCTCCGGCTATCCGAGAGCCAACCTTACCTCATTATTCCTGTTTACTAAATCACGTGATTCTATAAAACACTCACTACAATTATGGATAGGTAATTCGAAAAGATAATAGTTAACAAAGAAATAACAACCCCTCAGTCATTGACGTTGTTAAGCGCATTGATTCGAGTAACTATCGAAATAAAACTAAGTGCAGAATTAGTAGTCACCTGAGTATTAATAACGTAGCCTACTTGATAGCCCCAATTATTATAAATTATAAAAATAGTGTTTAATTCTCGGTTGTTGGCAACAGCAGATCCCGAAACTTGGAGAACTGCCAAATTTCACCAAAGTAGAGAGTCTGGACGGCAAAAACTGAGTTTTTAAAGCTCAGCATTCTTTCTACATCGTAAGCTAACAAGGGCCCAAAGCAGTTTGGCGATGCAAATACAAAGTGAGCACATGGGGCTTAACTCGTATTTACACAGAAGAAAAGTACCCGAAGTATTAAGTTCAGGTTGTTCATGTAGCTACCAATCACAGAACCCCAAGCATATTATTATGTCCTGCCCCCGATAGTCAAATGGTAGAGCTGAGATCTGGAGACAAGCCAAAGATCGATCCTACGAAGCGATGATAAATAATCCTGGAGACTTAAAAAGGATAACACAGTGGATCCTGAACCATGGTTGGATAGAGCAACTCCAGATGACAAAGACGGTTGAAATGCAGCTGAGGGAAAGGAAATGGTCAAATAATGCTTGGGGCGGATAGATATGATCTAGTTGGTTTTCATGGATGGCACTATAGTGTAACTGCGCTTCCTGAAGAAAATATGTGAGAAGTAGACGACAAGTAGAAAGATGTGGGGGATTTTCACCATAAGGGTTTCCTCCCGGGTAAATATCATAGATAATAGACACCTACATGGGCCCATACGGCGCCAAATCAGGATAATGAAATCAAATTCAAATAAATAAAATGGTAGCAATGGAAACTGGGTCAGGCAACTGAGAGCCTGACCTGTGACTGGCGAAGTGTATGTAATCAAAGTAAAAGATAACACAGTAAGAACAACTTGATTCCTATTTCTCCAGGAATTTTAGGACTATATACACAGATAATGATAGGGGGACTATTCTCAACACCTGTCAGTGGTGTGCCCTACGAACCTCCAGCTAGTAGCCTGGGCACCTACTCCACTTGAGAAGGAGACGCTTCAGACCATATTTCGCGCAGAGAAAAGTTGATGGATGACGAAGGCATGTCTGGATAACTCAGGATTTTTGAGACGTTCCCCTGGGTGGGTATTCACGGATGAGGGTTGACTTGGGGTGAAGAAAAAGCCGCCATAACTTTGCTGTGGTACTTGCAAATGAAATCTGAGGCGTGAGTGCTCTTCCTTTACGTTGAATCATTTATTCTATACTTTTATTTGATATTGTGTCATAGCTAGACAACTACATTCGCAATTAAAATCTGGTGTAAAAAAAAAAGAACCTCCAGCTCTCACTGTAAAGTCTGCAGAGCCGAGATTGATTAGCTGAGTCCTCACTTCGATGAGGATTCCCAATCGCTTTCGCGATCTGTATCGTCTACATCTCTCAACACATTCCCCGATCACCATTATCATGAAGCTAAACGCGATTAGATCAGATGTTTGGGTCGAAGCCCCTTCTCATCACCAGCCCTTGATCATGGAGGAAAAGTCATCTGATGAGTTTCCGGAGCGTACCCAGCACCCGATACGGAGATGGCGGATTGGATCAAGTCAGCATCGACTGATACAAAGAAGGGAGATATAGATGAATATGCGCACCTCATGTGGTCCCTGTGTCTAGGCCTCGCCAGGCTGGGGCTACAGGTTTTTTTTGAGACATTTTCCTGCGCAAGCAGTTTCCATTGCTACCATTTTATATATTTAGGTAGAAGGTTCTGTGAAAAAGGTGGCCGAATTCCACGGGTAAACACTGAGCTGAATGACTATTCATCACTGGTAATATATCAATAATCTTTCAAGTAACAAAAGAGGATAGGTGCACTGTGCAAGGTGTGGCCTGGGTCAGAGAGAAGCCCAATGTGCTAGATAGTCACTGACTCACGTAGTATAATAAAAACACCCACACGTTTCCCAAGGTCATATGCCGGTTAGCTCAGTCTAAAAAACTACCCGGCTTGCCAACGCTCCTAAGATCCCGGCATATCCCAGCTGGGCCCCTGCCCTCCTGTCAGGTGTCAAATCTAAAAATAGACCAAAAGCGCCCTTCCTTTGGGTCTTCTGTTAACTATACTGCAGACAGAATTAAAATGTAAATCTACATGCCGGAGAGGAGAAAAAATTTACCACTGGTAAAGAGAGAGCTACTAGTAAGTGATTGATTCCCGCTAAATAGGTAGTATGGAGCGAGAATAGAACATCTAAGTATCGGATGTTGGGTGAACTTCGCAAACTCATCGGTGCCATGGTACCTGCGGTTTTCTGTTGAAGTATCAGTCACTGAGCCTTAGAAGACATGTGACTTGATTCGTAAGCTGGGCTAAACTAGTGTCTATAGAATAGAATAGAATTAAATTAAAGACCCTACTGGGACTATGACTATGAAGGACTAAAAACTAGGGGCTATAGAAGGTATCGTAAATGTAGAACTCAGTAGTTAGTACAATAAAATACGCAATAAGCTTTAGGCATTTACCAGCAGTACAGTTTTCTAACCATATCTTCCTTCAATATTTTCTCTTATAATCTGAACTGTAAGTCACATGGCGCACAATTATTCTGCTTGGTTGTGTTACGATGCTAGCGCAGGAATTAAGTATAAGTAACCAGGTAGTTTCACTTTAAGATAGATCGTGCTTCGCCATATCAACATATTCCCACCCCTACTACATCCTCACGGATCTCCGATCTGCTTGTGAGTCCGTTCTAACGAGACCCACCCGTGATAATTGGATGGCTTCTCTTCCTTTACTGTTAGACATTAGGAAGTATCTAAGGTTTATTTGGTGTTTGGATCACATTTGGATATATTGGGTCCAATAATAGATTACTTTCAATTAGCTTGTTAAACGTACGGTCCACTTAGAGAAGTGATAACTTCAGGGGATCGATGTTCGGAAGAATGAATGAAGTTGTTTCTACTGAGTTGTTGATACCCGTAAATATTCTTCACCTGCTACAGGACAGGTTCCCCAGTTTCCTGATGTTTATCAAGTGTTGGTGACGAGAAGGGCTTCGACCCTACCATCTGATCTGATCGTGGTTAGCTTCATGATAGTGGTGATAGAGGAATGTGTTGAGAGATGAAGACGATACAGATCGCGAAAGCGATTGGGAATCCTCATCGAAGTGAGGACTCAGTTACTCAATCTCAGCTCTGCAGATTATAAAGTCCAAGCTAGAGTTTCGTAGGGCACACCATTAACAGGTGTTGAGAACAGTCCCCCACATATAGGCTGAGGATTAGGCCTTACAAATATATTTTTCGAATTATGAGTGATCGTCGATCCGACGAATATGAGTCGCCCTAGGATCACAGTTACATGTATATATGATCTTCAGCCTGGATAGAATCCGTTTCTTTGAAAATTATGAAACAGAACGTATTATGGCCGCTTTACTTTGTACCTATTTTTTGGTGATATCCCATCATAATGTTGTTCAAAAACGCAATGTCCTGAAATAAATAGATCACGCCTGTGGTTAAAGACATACCTGAAAGATAGAGATTCTGTTGCTTCACATATTGTATGACTACATCAGGACATGAAAGTCCCTTCTGCTGATAGGCCAGGAGTATTTATACCTCAAGCAATGTACTTCATGCTGTGCCTTCTTCGCGACCTTCATGAAATAATGTTCTATAAGTATTTCATTTAATAAATTAGAGGAAGATATAATTTCCCTAAGCGCATCTCCTGATGATTTAACGTTATCCAAATTTCTCTAGGTATAATGAAGATTTTTGTTACAGTACGAGTGAATCTTATTGGCACAAAGAAAAGAGACCTCATTGTGCCCATCTAAATTGCGAAGATATGTGAGCATGGGCTTTCGCGAAAATGCTAATGTAGAGGAAACCATAGTCTATACATACTACTTACTACTACATAGACGTTAGACTATATCCCCACTTGCAGCGCAAATATGCGAGTTTTGTACCATCAGTTATCATATCCTCATTTCTTACCTGCCCTTTTCGTATCGCTCTCGAGTTCATTTCAAACGACGAGCAGCTGGCCTTTCCAAAGTTACCCTTATTTTGAAAATCATTAAATGTGAAATAGGTCAAGAATCAGGCTGTTTTCGTTACATTTGTTTACTCACATCACAGTATCTTAGTTTTATCTATCGAACGATTTCATGAGAAATATGCTCTGACCCTTTGCTGCGTCTCAGGCGAAAGTTGTTGTAAGACGTGATTAGGATCTAACCCGGAAACCTGCAAAAGAAATCTTGCTGAGGTAACGATACGTGCTGCAACTGATTGTTGCAAAGTTTCTGTCTCTAGAGCTTTTACAACGAACATAAATACCTTTCCGGCCTGGGAAACAACAGCTGGATTTTGCCTATTATCGGAAAATTAAATTTAATCTTGTTTTTGGTCAGGAGCAAGGTAAGTGTAAACCTACTGATCAATCAATTCCGCCAAGTACGCGTATGCATATGGGGCTGCCTCTTCATCATTGACAACGGGTAGAGTTTCAATCCAATTCGCGATTATCTGTTGTTGATTCTGTACGCAAGCCGGTTGGTAGTGCAATATTTTTGCTATTGCTGCACAAGCATTTTCAGTTGCGTATATATCATCTTCTCCTCGGGCATTTGGGAATTGCGTAACTTGAAATAGCAGTTCTACAGCAGGCCCAAGAAAAGCTGACCATTGAGGACCACCTTTGTGTGCCGCAACGCCAACCCCATAAGCGGCGGCTTGGCGGTTGGCCGGCGCTAAATCCTGACAGCCTGCTATGAGTGGCTCAACAATATAATTGTTATATTTGAAACTTTCTTCGCCGCAGAACTCAAGGACGTCATCCATGATGCAGAGACCCCACTGCCGTTGAGTGGGGTCCTGACTCTTGAGAAATTGATCGTAAGTGGCATGTAGGCGTTCCCAAGCTGGAAGAAATGCCACTCCATGGTTCTTAAATATACAATGATAAGCTTTGTTCATGTCAGAAAGCAGCGTTTGGTCATCTTCAATCGCCAAGAGAAGATCCTCGGGCTCTTCCTCGCCCTCTTCCTGGTTCACCTCCTCGCGTTCTTCTGCTCTATTAGCGACCCTATCTTTATAATCTTCTAGCACCGAAGTGGCGGAGTCAATGAACGTCTGCATGTTTACTATCGTCAGACAATCTTTTCCCATGACCTCAACTGATTCGTAAAAGCATTGATACATCTCAGCAAGTGTGTCAACGGCTGGCTCGGCACTTAGTACTTCTAGTACCTTATCGATGGCGATGTTCCATAGAGCTTGTAGCTCATTTGATGGATGCCCGTAACATTTCTTATATGAATTCAAGAGTTGGGGTACACATTTCGCCGAAACTACACGAACCGGATCGTGAAAGAAAAACGCCAATCCAGGCAGCGCGATTTTCTCCATAATATCTACAACGTATGGTGCAAATGCAGCTTCAAGAACCTGCGCATAGACGACAAGAAGCTCAATCGCCATGTGTTTATCGTCAAGTGTGCTTGTCTTAATACCAATTATTTTCCCTTTGAGGGGAACTAACTCCCATCCTTCTTCTTGCTGTGCAGCCTCAAGTTGTTCGTCGTCATCTAGGAGCTGTATGTCTGCTTTTGCACTCGCCAGCTCAAGAAGAGGGGGCATAACGTTCGGTAGGAACGGTATGAAGTCAGATCCAAGTACGCGACACATACGACCCCAGCAATGCATTAGGTATTGTGCTTGGGGATCATCTGCGTCAGTAATCGACTGTTGAATTGAGGCCAGTAATCGTACAAGATTTAAGGCATCGGCCCCTAACCTTTCTTTTCCAACAGCTAGAGCAATAAGAGTTGCACACTCCATAGCTTTTGCGCGAAGAAGTCGAAGCTCTTTTGTATTTTCTTGTTGTAATACTTGGAAGAGGATGGGCATAAGCGTGGCATAATATTTGGAGAAGGCTGCCTCGGCAGAGTCAGCGATCGTGGCAATTGTGGAAAGAGCTTGTTCCTGAACGTAACGCTTCCGTCCCTGAAGTAGTGCGAACAAGTGGGTAAGTAAATCATCCAAGTATGGCTCTAGCACACTTTTCTCGGCCTCCTCGCAAAAGTTAACAAGCGCAGCTGCTGCATGTGATTGAACTCGGGGTTCAGGCGAATCCAAGACGGGAATTATTGCTGGTAATACTACTGAGTGATACTTTTGTTGCATAATACCAGCAAAATCTGTACTCATTTGGCCTAAGGCGTTACATCCTGCCCATCGAACACGAGGATGCGCATCACGGAGGGCTGGGATGACAAGATCTAAAACCTGATTGAGTTCGCCTATCATAAGTTCCCGACAACCTTCCGAAATGGCTGAAATTGCCATTAGAGCTGCATGGCGATCTCTCCAGGCATCAGAGTTCATCATTCTTGGTAACCAGCCAAATATGGGTGCAAGAAGGGCTGCACCCCCAAGCTTGTTCGCTAATCTATCCATGCACTGCTCACCAGCTACATGGTTCAGATCACTTTCCTCGGGATCCATCTACAGAATTAGTTGTCAAAATATGTAATGGGATTCAAGACAGCCTACATCTTCAGATTCTTTCCACTCAGATGCATCATCATCATCGACGCCTATGTCTGTCATTAAGCTCAGACACTGGGTAATCATGTCGTTGACATATGTAGGGTCTTTTTTGACCATGGCAGGTGAATTGTCTGCAAACGTTGCCATAAGCTCTAATGAATTTTGGCGAGCTTGGTCTGTGAGTTCTTTGTCTTGTACGACAGATATACAAAAAGCAACTAGGTTTTGAAAAAGAGGCCGGAACATCTTTGGTGCAACTTCAGCTAGGTCAATAAGCGACACAAGGGCTCTTGTTAATTCCTCCGATTCTTGCTTCTCTTTGATTGTTGGTAGAATATTTAGGACCTCGGGGAGTAATGCGTAATATTTTTGCTGAGATTTCTTATTGATACTTCTGAAAAAAGAGGCGAAAGCTTCCATGGCAGCCAGCCGAACCTGAAAATGGTGAGCCGTTCTTGATCTTTGAACTCATTTTAGAATTTACATACTTCCACATTCTCATCCTTAAAACCTTTGGTGAATGCAGAAAGCACCGTATCTTCGTGTTGAGTCTCTATGATGCCGGGAGACGCGGAAAATATTCTGTAAGCAATCTCGCGTTGACCAATAATTTGTGATATACTCAAGGTGAACAAAATTCCTAGTATTTCAGGCCATTGTATCTCTAAATTATATCAATATTAAGTGGTTGTTTGGTGAACTATACGTACTAGCTTCTGAATATTGTCTAGCGACTTCAGCAACTGCATCACCAATTTTATTCCTTACCTGATGAGTCATCTCGGAGCTCAGTGTTTCAAGTAGCTTATTTCTAATAAAATATCCCTGATCTTGAGGTAGAGATAGGAAAAGTTCCACTGTTTGATCATTCTTTGACTTACGAGATTTCGACGCTATACGTCGAAATATTATGGCGGCAAAAGATCGAGTCTTGCAAATTCATAAGTTAGATACTTTAAAAAGTTTGATCCCAGAAGTTGATATGTAAGATTACCTACCGATGGATTGTTCGATGTTTGCATCTGTTCCACTAACCCAACCAAAAGCATCTCTGGCTTGGGTATTGTCCAGTTATTTGTCAGATGTTCTTCAGCCCGTGATCGTACACTATTATCTGTAGATTGTAGGGCTTCAAGCAACTGATCGAGTTCATTGTGAGCATCTGCAGAGAGGACAGACATGATGAAGGCCGGAACTTCGAGTATCAAAGTGATAAGAATTTGACGCAAGTATTCCCAGAGTGATGGAGCAGAGTCTTTTAACAATTTCAGAAGCCTGACGCAGGTAGGTTAGATTCTGGTGAGTTTTGGTATTTAGCTGAGAAGTGGCGCATCCTTACAGTCGTTTAGGTTTTTGAAAATAAGATCTTTGCGCGGTGTGCGCTTTTTGGGCCTTAGGAAACCTCTCCTTCGTTTGATCACGCTACGCAAGTAGCAGAGATTAGGCACCTTGAGTGAGGTTGATGAGGCAAAGCCAGTCCTTGTCAAGATGTTGGCAGACGTTAATGATAGACTCGGATTGCTTGGTGAATGATAATAGGACTGAATCCCATGCGAGGGTAGTGGGGTCTCTTGGGTGGCAGACAAAAAATATATTGTGGGGTTCCTAAATGATTGATTGGCGGAGGACAGAGGCTTAGAAGGGCTAGCGTGACGAGAACTAGAACAATTTGCTGTCGCTATTGAAGAGATTGTACATCGTGCTTGCGTCACATCATAACGTGGGATGTCACCAAATTACACTTACCTGCAAGTATAATTCTTTTTTCACACCTACCACAATAAACTCTGAATCTCCCCAATCATAAATGAGAAAATGTATTCACAGGAATACAGCTCGGTCAAGGACCTGCACTTCATATCAACTGCCTAATCTTATCAGCTACCCAGAGTGAAATTACACACATTCTCCGGCATTTGATATTTGAAAATTTTATAGCTAAGTAACAAGATCTTCTTGCCCTCTATGTGCCCACTGCTCTACCAAGGTATAGTCATAAGCCTGCAATTATTTACAGAAAAGCCATTCTCGGTTTCAGCCTTATTTCCTCCTTTCGTTAAATCTAGTAATGCTCTGAATGTACTTATCCTCTTCTGCAAGCGTCTCAGCCATGTATTTGACATTTAGCAAGTTTGTGCTCGAAATAAAATTAGGCAGCTTTCTTCGAGAATCTTAACAGCAGCAAGCACAGCTCTTATTTCGAATTTACCTTTGATAAAAGTTGGGTGAAGAGGAAAAGGCTGGAAGTCTGCAAGTAGTGTCTTGAATAAATTTTGGATGAATCACCCTCGTAGAGCCTAGTTTCGATAAAATTTAGTACTGTACGACGTTGGCCCAGAAATATGGTCTTCTCACTCCTTCCCCCATTGCCTTAGTTATCAGCAAAGCAAATTTCTACCAAAATATTGACAACTCTATAAATAAGATTCTTATTTTCTTTTCTGGCGACTATACTAACCATGTTTGCAGTATATCGCGTCAACTTTCTTCCATGGACAAGCACGCGGCGATACGTTTGCATGCAGGAGAATTCAAATCATGGCATAAAAATCTAGGAATACAAATAGCCCAAGAGCTTGCGTGGAATATTTGATTAGGTATTAAGTTATATGCAACTCATGGATACCATTATGGAAGAGGTGTAGACTAAATTAGATTCAACTTTTATTTTAGTTACATATTGTCCAAGGGTAACATTTCATCTGCTCATGTAAACCAAGCTAGACAGGTCACATGACCTTACGAGCATTATATAAATTTCGTCTGCTGCTATGAGTCTACTTATCCTCCCTTGTCGAATGTGCACACAAGCTCCAGGAGAAATTGGACAGCACCATAGCATGGGTACAGACTAACGGAAGTAGTTTCGAACTTCCTAAGACTGAAATGCAATACTTTCACAGGAAGTGAGGCTCGCCACTAGAGCCTACTCTAAATATTGGAGGGACAACTATAACGCCAAATGATTACACTCGCTGGCTTGGAATCTTCTTCGAACGGGCTTTACGGTTCCAATTTCATAACCTACAGGCCTGCCGAAAGTCACTAGCTATCACCAGGCACTTGAAAAGACTCTCGACGACGACTCGAGGGATTAGCCCTCTCTTTCTACGACAAGCTCTACAAGGTGCTGCCTTTGCGACCCTTTTCTACGGGGCTGAGACCTGGTACTCTAAACAGACTTCCCAAAAAATTATCTTGCAAATCCAACATTGGATGAACGACGAGGCTCGGGCAGTTCTCCCAGTCTATCGCACCACTCTAATAGCAGCACTCCTACGAGAAGCTGGCTGGGCCCCAGCTCAGACATGGCTCTCCCGAATTCACAGTCGTCTAGCAGTTCGAATGGCGGCAGCTGACCCTTACCACCCTCTTCGTAGGCGCTGGATCCGCCAGAGGATACTGTTAGAACTTGCCGATGACGGCACACCCCCACCATGGTAGGCATCCCGTGAGGAAAAGCTAATCGAAATTGGGGTAGTAGGTAGACTCCTGGTATCAAATTCTTTCATATAATGGCTAGCTACACGACCTACCCTAGACTTGCTCGTATTTTCATACGGAGCTCTGATAGAATACCGAGCAGATGCGGGTTATCTCATCTACCGAGGTCTCACGCAGGAGATTGGGCGAGGATCACTCCCGCTCGGAAACTCGGCAGAGGTCTATGATGCTGAAATTGCTGGGGCCACGGAAAGTCTTGCAGCAGCTCTTCGCAATCCACTGGCCTATTAAGCCTCTAACGTCACTGTCTGCCTTGACAACCAGGAGGCTGCCACCTAGCTGCTCTTAGATACGCCCACAGCGTCTAGATTGGCGAAAAAATTTATCTTTCGCAAGCTCGCAATGAACTGGAAAAGAAGATCACGCGGTCAAAACACGACGCCTGTGGAAGTAGCTGTTCCACGGTGCCCAGGCCACGCAGGTATTCTTGGAAACGAAGTTGCCGACGCTCTAGCTAAAGCTGCCTGTGGGGCTCCAGCTTCAAACTCAGAACTCTCCGTTGCGAGGGCAAAAATAAAAGTCAAAGCTCAATATGAGGCTTCCGTAATACTCTATTGGGCAGAAAATTCTCCATCTAGATATAAAGAACTAGGTATTGGCCCTAACACCAAAATAACCATTAAGCTCGCTCGTCTAGGGAGACGCACACTAAGATATCTTCCAGCTGCAAGATCTGGACATGGCGATTTTGCAGACTACCATAGACGGTTTCAGCATGAAAATGCCACTCTTACCTGCTCTTGCGGGGAAGAGAAGTCCCACAATCACTTTTTCTATTGCCACCTCGGACAATACCAAGCTCAGCTCCATAGGGCACAGAATTCTAATCCCAGCGTACCTTGGGATTTTGCTTCAGTGGAGAGAGACAATGTATTCAATAACTGGGTGCGTGTTACAAATTTCTTCGAAAGGGCACAATAAAAATTCTTATTCGAACGAAATCACGACTTGATGTAAACAATTTTCTCTTTTTATTTTATCTTTTTTGCAAAATCTTTTCTTGTTTAGTACCAACTTCACAGCATGAGATTCGTTGGACGGACGGCCTCCATATATACTATAACCTTCGAGCGTAGGATGATAGGATCCTAGCTATTGTTTGCTTTGTTGGGTCTGTGAGGGCGCCAACACGTCGGTTAGTTTAATTTAGACTGGGCCAACCGGTACGTGAAAAGCTCACGTACCGTGCGCGGGCACGACGTTAAATATTATAAATAAATAAATGAATATATAAGTTTTTCGATAATTGTTATCATTTTAACAGTCCATTTTAACAGTCCATTATAATCTGACTACCCAAATTTTTCACGTTGCGCTTCGGCATGGCAAGTTGGGAAGCCAGTAGGGTGGATTTCGGACTGCAAATTTTTTCACGGCAACACCACAACCAACAACCAACAAGCCGGCAAAGACGAATTCTTCACCTTCCAGTGGTGCCGGTGCAATCACTCAGTATGTTCTGCATATCTAGGATAGCCAAGAAGAATCGCATCCAAATCGAAGTCGAAGGCAATCACAAGCACATCTAAAATCGACAACTTCTCGTTAATGTCGGATCTATCATTCTCACGCGAGTCCTCCAACTCAATCTTAATACACCACCTTGCCTCAAATACCGATAATGGCGTTAATCCAATTGCAATCGGGCATTTGCCTCATAAAAAACCGGCCATATCCCACTACACAGTTACGATGCTATGTATACCCGCGAGGAGGAATTGAAGTCATAATATACAAAGCTCGGGTCTTGGTCTATGGGGAACCGTTGCTCCAATGGGGCTCCACATCTTGAGGGAGGACAGGTAGCTGGGACGTGGGACGAGCGAGTGGAGAAGTCGCAAATGGGTATTTTGGGACTCAAATTTGTCATGTGTTTTCGACTTTGAGGTACTTGTGGGCGCCGAGGCTGCAATTTCGAATAGTGCTGCCGACAGTCTAAGTACAGGCAATGACGGAAGGTGTTTTGGTACGCCTTCTGGTCATTATCTCCCCGAATTAAAGTCTGTGTAGCCTAGAGGCCTATTCCACTCGGGAAAAGGAGGACTGTGAGGCCATATATCGCGCGGCGGCTATGTACAAGATGGCAAAGGCATGTTAGGGTAGCCAAAGGTTTTTCATGTTTTCCCTTTGGTAGATATTCACGGTTGAGGGAATGGTGAAAGTCCATAGCACAAAAGTCTCGAGTCGTATCAGCTAATGCACCCACTGCATGAGTAGTCCAAATGTCAAACTGAGTTATCGTCGTATATAGTCGCCGGAGAAGCTAGTCTTCTCCGCGTCATGCTCTTTGAGTGCAGGGCTTGTGCCCGTCACGAATAAATTTTCATCACCACAACCAACAAAGGATAGCGGAACAACCGCAATTACGGCTGTAGAGTCTCTCATGATCTCCACAGGCGTTAATATGGATAACTTGAAGTTAATAGGCTTTTTCCTAAGCAAGGTTCGCGACAGACTGGTGATGACACCATGAATAATTGGAACAGTAGCCTGCAACATAGCACAATCAGGCTAGACATCGTTGACCAGGACCTAATCCGAACACAAAATGTCAAACATACGGTCTTGGCGTGTCCTCAGTAGGCAGCGGGAAGAGAAGAGGTGCTTCGAAAGGCAAAAGATAGGTCATTTGCGGCAATGATGAACAGCCCAGATGATATAGAGAGAATCGAAAAATAGATCCTGGCAAAAGGCTGGTTTTGAAAAATTCCGGCTTGTAGGAGCAGTAGAAATAGCATCAGACGAAAAGATGAGACGATGTGGACAAGGATAAGACGGATTTCACACTGTATAAACAGTGTAAACGCACTTCCTGTAGAAAACCTCAAAAAATCAATAGACACAAGACAGACAGTTTTAGGGGATTTTTACCGAATTTGGTTTCCTCCTGTGTAAATATTATAGCTAGATATTCCTGCATGGGCCTACAGGGTACCTGGACGGGCTAAATAAAATCAAATCAAATAATAATAATAATAATAATAATAATAATAATAATAATAATAATAATAATAATAATAATAATAATAATAATAATAATAATAATAATAATAATAATAATAATAATAATAATAATAATAATAATAATAATAATAATAATAATAATAATAATAATAATAATAATAATAATAATAATAATAATAATAATAATAATAATAATAATAATAATAATAATAATAATAATAATAATAATAATAATAATAATAATAATAATAATAATAATAATAATAATAATAATAATAATAATAATAATAATAATAATAATAATAATAATAATAATAATAATAATAATAATAATAATAATAATAATAATAATAATAATAATAATAATAATAATAATAATAATAATAATAATAATAATAATAATAATAATAATAAGTGAGCTGCAAACTTATATAACGGCAAGAAAACAGGTAGACTTATGATGAACTATAGAGAGTCAACTATCCAAATCCACCAAAACCTTAGCAGGGCCCAGAGCAGCATTGCCACACAATTATGAGGCGAGTAGATTGAGTTCAGTACTTACTTATACAGAAGGAATGTTCCAGGAGTAGGAAAACCATAGTGCCAATGTGGATATCCGTCCCAAAATATAAAGCACATGGTGGCGTCTTGTCCAAGATGGGCAAAAGGAAGAGGTGAGTTGCTACGGAAATCGACAACTCGATCTTTCGAAGCTATGGTAAATAAATTCAAAGATATGACTAGAATTGCACAGTGGATTCAAAAGGAAGGATGGCTAGAACTGTTTCGGATGAACGGAGAAATCGAGGTGTTAATCAGGCGAAGAGAGGAAGATGTAAACGCAGGACAAGGACGGAATCTACACTGGCAACAACAGTGTGAGCGCACTTCCTAAAGGTAAGACCATAATGGCGTAGAGCCGAATCAGATAGCTAAGGGGGTTTTTACTACAAGGTTTCCTCCTATGTAAATATTAAAGTTCGTAGACACCTGCATGGGCCCATAGGGTGCCAAATCTGGCTAAATGAAATCAAATTCAAAAATAATAATAATAATAATTATGATTATGATGATGATGATTCTATAGCCCATCCTCATTTCCCTGTGTCTAAAAAACCCAATCACGTAAGCACGACATGCTGCAGATTTAAATTTACCCTAAGAAATAGCTCTTCTTTCCTGTCTACATGATAGCTTCTATTTTTAGAGTCTTGGAACAAAGTAAAGGTTATATCAACATGCTAGAAAGGTCTAAATAGAGATTGCGTGGGGTAAATTCGTGCGGACTGACCTCTCTGTGACCTCTTGGGTAGAGGATAATGTCATGTTTTTATTGAGGATGTTAGACCACCCGATAAATTTCTGGCTCAATCTAGGCCCTATATGTACCACTATTAAAGTTGGAGGCTTAAAGGGGACAATGCTGACAGGTTTCTTACAATCGTGTCGCTAGTCACTATTACTGGTAGCCAATTCTTGCATGTCACAATGGTTTTTTGATCTAACATTGCGAATAGCTAGTCCACTGTACTAACGTAAGTAACTAATCGACTTTGAACTTGATTGTCGACTTTGTATATTGGATTATTATCACAGACACGGAAATAGATTCATGAGATTTCTTTATGAGAGGCTAGGATTGATTCCGATATAATTTGGTTGAAGACTTGTCCTACAATTTACAGGCTACAATGTCTTTATATATCTACGTATTTACCCCCATATTCACCATATCCGCTAGCCATTCTATATCTAGCGTGCATAGCCTGGTTTATCTCATGGTTCTGGGATGGAGCTGTATTTTCCGAATAGCAGTACAGTCAGACCCCTGTTAAGACGATCCTCGTTAAGACGATATTGCCGTTAAGACGATATTTTTTTACAGAACGGACTTCGTCCCCATACATTTACCAATTACATGATTGTCGTTCTTCGACCTCTGAATATCGTCTTCCTCTGAATATCGTCTTAACCAGGGTTATTTTGCTAGATTGGTGCTACAAATGCCGCCAAAAAAGGGAATTTCTATGGAGCAACGATATCCCCTATAAGACGATATTTTTCACGGCCCCGATGACATCGTCTTAACAGGGGCTTGACTGTATTATTTTAGCTCCTACAATACGTAGCAGCTTCAGATATAGTTTACCGTGCGATACTTCCACCTGAGCTACATGCCTCCTTGATATGCTGCCGGCTCGGTAATAAGTGAGATAACCGAAGCTTAACCTTAATTACGAACCCATGAATACCTAAGACAGAAGCCTGCAATCTAACACAATTAGGTTAGGAATTGCCAACTACAACTTAATCCAAACAGTAACACAGGAACCAAGGAGAAAATTTTTATTAAAAAAGAGCTGCTTGAATGCCACCTACACAGGCATCAAGTGCTCTTACATGCCCCATGAAGTTGTAACTTTGATTCTTACTTAGATTTTGTTAGAGTAAATAATAAATTCTGGCGGTAATTCCCATCTAGCAATTAAAGGGATAAATTTCCTCTACCTATCTACTATTGCTACTTTACCTATTGTCACGAATTTATTCACAGTTCTTTTTCTTCTGATTTTATCGGGAACATAATTTTCCAATCATGATCGATACTGAAGTTTGGTGTTCTCACAATAGCCCAACTCGATTTTCCTTCTCCACCTTCATAAAATTGTAAGTGAGATTCATCTTCGTTCAATTTTATGGCTGTTTTCTTGGACCACTCCTTAGGTGCTCCTACTATGATTATTCGTTCGATCTTAACAATTTTCATGGAATGGTCAAAAGAATCTGCTAATTTTCCCCTTGTTCCAATACTTGTGCTTTGAAGGACATCATCTTTAAATTCAAATTTTCGATGAATAAATGCCCCATTTTGATAATCAAATGTCTCGCCATCGTCAATATATAAATCTCCTTTTGCCGTGAAGTCTTTAGAAAGTGTGACAATTAAAGTGTACGGATCCCACTTCATCAGACCACTACTCCTCCGCCGTCGATCTTTCCGAGGAATGATGTGACCTCCCTGCATTAAGAGAGGAATTTTTTCTAATGGTGTTTCAATTTTAATCTTGCCAGGACCCGTATATTTATGATAGTCGAAGTAATCATAGTAGACCTCACTATCGGGAAGATACATTTCTATATTAGAAACATCCTGGGAAACCACTGGCTTTACCAAGAGTCCAGTACTACCCACAAAGAATTGGTCATCTATTGCGAAGCCGGATTCATCCCCAGGATATTGAAAGTAATGCGGGCGAAGTATGGGCCTTCCATTAATACTCGCTTCATAAAATGTAGTATACCATGCCGGAAGAAGAGAATACCGTAGCTGAAGGGCCTGTGTTATGATAGATCTGTATGGTTCTTCAATTAAGTATGGCTCTCTTCGTCGTGTGTCTATGTGCGCATGACCACGGAAGAATGGATAAAATGCACCAGCTTGGTACCAACGGGTGAGAAGATCTTTATCGGGATTGCCAAAAAACCCTCCAACATCGGCCCCAGCAAAAGGAAAGCCGGATATTCCATTATTGATAGTCATAGGAATCGAAGCTGCAAGATGATCCCAGCTTGCCTGGTTGTCACCAGTCCACATAGCACCAAGGCGCTGACTCCCGGCAAAATAGGAGCGAGTGAGAATAAATGGGCGTCTAATAACGCCCTCATCGCGTTCCAACATAGCGTGATAGCTTGCATTGTGAAAAGTCATACCGTAAAGATTATGAACATCTCGATGTTCCCAATTCCCGTGATGAAGATTATCTTTGGGCATAGTTGTCTCTGGGCCATTGAATACAGACGGCTCATTCATATCGTTCCATAGAAAAACAATTGGCGAAGATCCATTGAAAAAATTATACTTAAATAAGCCCATCCACCATGAAATAGTGGCAGGGTTGAAGCAATCAACCCATTGGGAGGCTCCCGGCCAGCACCAGCCATCATATGGCTGTCCGTCTTTGTTATGTACTGCAAGATCTTTTTGTTTCATCTCTTCAAATACACGGTATCCTTCTTTATTTTTAATATGAGGGTCAATTATGGCAACGAGCTTCCGTTTTGACTTGTCAAGCTGCTCGAGCATGGCAGTAGGATTCGCGAACGTTAGGGGATCCCAGGTAAAGTATTTCTTATCATCAGTATATTCAATATCTAGCCATATAACATCGTATGGAATCTCATGCTTCGACATCTTTAGATCAACTTCCCTCACATCTTCATCGCTAACATAATTCCAACGAGACTGATGATAGCCTAGAGCAAATTGTTGTGGTAATTGAGAAAATCCCGTTAGTTTTCCGTAAGCCTGTATAACATCATCTGGTGTAGGGCCAAGGAAGACAAAAATATCTATCAGCCCACTCTCAGAGATCCAGTGGGTTTTAGTGCTTGTCTTTGATCCAATACCAAGACTTATTGGGCTTTGGTGTTCTATTTCTTTTATAACATCAATCCATGTCTCTGCAGCATTTAACCAAAAAATACCCACTGTAGAATCCTTCTTGTGCGCTTGCATGAACGGAATTGCGCCATAGAGAGTCATCGAACTGTCTGTGATATATTCAAAAACATCTGCGTTGTATAATCGATATGGCTCGTCGTAATTGCCACCTCCTCCTCGAGTGGTCTTGAGAGATAGAGGACTGGCGTGTTCTGGTATACCGTATACATGTTCATAATCAGGAAATGTGATATCTAATGCGATACTTTCGGGCCCTCGGGGTTTACTATCAGTGAATCCACCAAAACTTTCGTCCCACCATGTGCTTTCGTCCTCATTGGAGTTTTTTTCAACCTCTCCCTCTTTTAGTTCACTAACTTCAGCTTTTGGGCGCCAGTGCTCTACGTTTATTAAGCCCCGGTCATTGAATTTTATTTGCGAAGCAGAATCTCTTTTGAAGTCAATTGAAAACGGGGAGAATGTTATTTGAGCCTCGAATTTTCCGGCTGGCCCATAAGTTACGGTGCTTTTTTTGGTATCCCTCCTTTCCTTGGCCGTCTTACTCAACTCTAGTCCATCAATAATGGTCCAAATTTCAGTCTCATTATATCTTTCTTTGCGTGCACGACTCTCATTGCGAAGAGTAGTTTCACCTTTTTGGCGTTTTTCTTCATCAATCGTCACACGAGCTGAGCCAGAGTTGAGGAATGAAATTTTTATAGGTAAGCGGACCAGTTCAGTTTGGCCCTCAACAACTTTTTGGATAATTCCATTCAGTTGACCATCTTTCCAGCTGAGTGATTCGGCGGCAATGCTATAAGGAGCTTGCCATGTAGCACCTTTACTCGTGGCAATGTTTGCATACTGGCGGTTACGCTTACAGAATCCAGACTGGTCGCAGGTCTTAAAATTTTCGTGTTTTACAGTTGCTTATAAAGATTTAGCATCTGGTCAAAACTTTTTGATAAATTACTTGCCAGCTGGAGTAGGTAAACAAACAAGGAGTGTAGATACTATGATAGCGCACTTTGTTACTGAGGGTGTAGAAAACATGGCCAGGTACCGATCTCTGTTCCTCTTTCAGGAGAGAATTGACCACTGTTTACGAGCAGTAAGGTAACGAAGAATGAATTGTGGATAGCTGTCTTTGCTGACAGACCTGTTAGTCAGGATACTTAACATGTTTGAACTTGTACGTTATTCTACCCCCTAGTTCGCACTCGGGTTCTCGACCTAGGGTTCGGATGCCAAGATTTTAGCGTGCATGAGAATACATGTTTTAGTTTTGACTTCCAGGCACCTCCCTTGCATTGACGCTTAACCACACCTACCCGACCTACAGATCGAGATATGATACACAGCCTAACTGTGCCCACAATTGAACAATTTGCTAGTTTTCGTGACAAATACAGGTTCTAGTTCCGCAATTATTCAAAAAACTTCCTAACATACAATGTTAGAGAAGATATTTCAAAGAATGCTCTGGTACTAGATCGTCACTTATCTAGATGAGGTCTCTGCTCAATTCAAAAGTCGCCCAATAACTTATCCGATAGTTTGGGTCTACCTTGTATAGCTGCAGGATTACGTAATTCCATCCGATAACAATGTTTTACAACACTATTGACTGATTGATAAGCACAGCTCCCCTATCAACCCCACATTCCTTTCTTGAGCTTTGAAAGAGGTACCAACCCATCTTGCATTTTTTATTGTATTTTTGATGCCTTTAAATCCTGTGTAAATACGTGGACACGCAGGCCCCTTCTGCCTACAAGCCGGGAGTATCTATGCCTCGACCAGTGTCAGCTATCCCGTGTCTTCACAGTTTATTTCCGGCAGTATTTTGACCACAATTTGTCGTTTAAATACATAACTGATGGAGCCGTTAACCTAACTTTACCACCATTCTCTGACTAAAAAATGATGGACGTTTGCGAATGTGTAACTGCACAGGAAAATTCAAGAAACCACTATATGCAGAGCCCTACTACGGACATCAGGACTAAACCTGAGGATATATTTACCCCTCTGGTGCGCTCAAAGAGGCCGGCTAACCGGTTGCAGTAGACCTGTGTATACCAAAGAGCTATTCTATCACTTTGAGGGGGACTATTCTCAACACCTGTCAGTGATGTGCCCTACGAACCTCCAGCTCTCACTTAAAGTCTGCAGAGCCGAGATTGATTAGCTGAGTCCTCACTTCGATGAGGATTCCCAATCGCTTTCGCGATCTGTATCGTCTACATCTCTCAACACATTCCCCGATCACCATTATCATGAAGCTAAACGCGATTAGATCAGATGTTTGGGTCGAAGCCCCTTCTCATCACCAGCCCTTGATCATGGAGGAAAAGTCATCTGATGAGTTTCCGGAGCGTACCCAGCACCCGATACGGAGATGGCGGATTGGATCAAGTCAGCATCGACTGATACAAAGAAGGGAGATATAGATGAATATGCGCACCTCATGTGGTCCCTGTGTCTAGGCCTCGCCAGGCTGGGGCTACAGGTTTTTTTTGAGACATTTTCCTGCGCAAGCAGTTTCCATTGCTACCACTTCTTTTTTTGGATAGAAGGTTTCGTGGAAAAGGTGGCCGAATTCCACGGGTAAACACTGAGCTGAATGACTATTCATCACGGGTAATATATCATTGATCTTTCAAGAAACATGAGAGGCAAGGAGCACTATACAAGGTGTGGCCTGGGTCAGAAAGGAGCCCAATGTGCTAGATTTTCTAAGACTCAAGTTGTACAATGTACACACATCCCTCTCTAACACTTCACGACCTACCCCTGCGCTGATATACATGGATGACGAAGGCATTCTTAGATAACCATTGGTTTTGAAACGTCCCTTTGGTGGGTACTCACGGAAGAGGGTTGACTGCTTGTGTAAGCAAGCATACCTCATAGTGGTATTTGCAAATGAAATCCAGAGTATGAATGTCTCTAACGTCAAAAGATTCACGCAATATGTATTCATAGCACTAGTCATGTGTCATAGCTAGATAGCTGAATACACATTAAGTGATTTAAAAAAAATAACCATCACCTGACTTACCTTTATACTCCATATTTTCAACTGTTACTCCAATTGCAATCGGGCACTCGCCTTATCGAAAATCGGCCGTCCCCCAATCTAAAGTTACGATGTTATATATTCCCCCGAGGAAGAAACTAAATCATGATATACAAAGCTCGGTCCTGGTTTATGGAGGAATATTGCTCTAATGGGGCTCCACATCTTGATGAAGGATAGGCAGCTGGGACGTGGGACGAGCGAGTGGAGAAGTCGCAAATGGGTATTTTGGGACTCAAATTTGTCATGTGTTTTCGACTTTGAGGTACTTGTGGGCGCCGAGGCTGCAATTTCGAATAGTGCTGCCGACAGTCTAAGTACAGGCAATGACGGAAGGTGTTTTGGTACGCCTTCTGGTCATTATCTCCCCGAATTAAAGTTTGTGTAGCCTAGAGGCCTATTCCACTCGGGAAAAGGAGGACTGTGAGGCCATATATCGCGCGGCGGCTATGTACAAGATGGCAAAGGCATGTTAGGGTAGCCAAAGGTTTTTCATGTTTTCCCTTTGGTAGATATTCACGGTTGAGGGAATGGTGAAAGTCCATAGCACAAAAGTCTCGAGTCGTATCAGCTAATGCACCCACTGCATGAGTGGCCTAAACATTAAAATGAATTATCGTCGTATATAGTCTTCGGAGAAAGACTACCCTTCTATGTGTCATGCTTTATGAGTGCTAGACATGTGCCAGTCACGCATAAATGTTCATTCAAACATTATCCTCCTAGCCACACATCACCATAATCTTAGATACGTAGGGTCCGGCATCCCGAGTAGGGGAGAAGCAGAAACCTAGCCAGCAGGGCAATAAGCACTGTCGTACGTTCTTATAGATAGTTTTGTAGGCACTGCGAGTCCGAGCCTCGGCTTGGCGCTCCAAAGAATAAAACATATAAACAAATACTACTCTCCTTCTCACCCTTTCGCCAAAGCCGTGAAAAATGTAAGAAAGTTCTTTACAGAGTATGCGTGCTGTATAGCAGTTTAGATCAACTTTTTTGTGGCGTCTAGGGTATTGGGAGTTGACGTTGACTCTTCGAAAATGGGAGTCCTGGTTAATTTGCCGATACGTTGGTCTTGGCGCCCTCTAACATTTCAAAGTCAAAAACCCCACGAAAAACTTAAGTCCCAGCTTGCACAATAGTGATCTCTTCCCTCTTATATTCTAGGCCTCGAATGTGTTCTCCCTCAAAAGGTAGAGCCCTAGTTGAGCAACGGCCCCACAAAAGCCAAATCAAAAGCTTTGTACGACAACTTGTTATCCTCATTGTGGGTGCGCTTGGCGTCGTAATTTGTAGTGGAAGATGGCCAATTTTTGATCAGGCAGATTCCGATAGCAGTTGAAGTTGCGCCCTTATCGGTAGTTGAGGCGAGGTGTTGTAGTAATATCAATGTAGAGGATTCAGGTGAGAATGGTAAGAGCGGCATTATCGAGAAGGCGTCAAACGGAGATGTGCTTGAGAGTACTTTCAACTCCGATGAGGATGAGATTTTTCTTTGTTATCCCAGTTACGCAGAGCATACTAGGCGATTACACCTGCACCACTGAAATGTGAAGAATTAGTTTTTGCTAACTGCATAGATCGATAGTTCTGGAGCTGTGGGCATTTACAAGAATCCAATCTAGCTTGCTTTAGGTTAGCGTGGAAAGCCGCAGTGTTATGTAATTTTACGCCACAGCCTACACGACATGTGTCGCAAATTATTGAAGAGCGTTTCGCCACAAAATCTTTATTAACATACTACTCTCGCTCTTTAACCGGTCTATCTCTAATTATGGGCTCCGTTGTGCTACCTCATCTCCGGACTGGATGGCACGTTGATCAAGCTATTATGTCTGAGGAAGAGCGCTTAGTCGTTATTCGCTTTGGTCGTGACTATGACCCCGACTGCATGTGTCAAGATGAAGTTCTCTACAAGATCGCTGATATGGTTAAGAATTTTGCTGTCGTCTATGTCTGCGATCTAGATGAGGTTCCAGATTTCAAGCAAATGTATGAACTTTACGATCCAATGACGATCATGTTTTTTTACCGCAATAAACACATGATGTGCGATTTTGGCACAGGAAACAACAACAAATTAAACTGGGTCCTCGAAGACAAACAGGAGCTAATTGATATATTAGAGACAATATACAAGGGAGCTAAGAAGGGGCGTGGTCTTGTTGTCAGTCCCAAAGATTATTCGACACGATATCGGTACTAAAGATGTGGAAAAATGGAAAATATGGACCATCTACGATAAAAAAGATCGGATATTTTGCCTCAAATATGCTATAAAATTATCTTCACTTTCAATAGAGTTAAAGGATGCCCCAGATATTTAATGGGAAAGATCTCAGATCTTTTTGTTATTGAGCTTATGTTGGGCTAAAGACTAGAGAACTAGTAGTGAGGTTGGACATCCCAAATCATAAGATCTAGGGAGAATGTCTATTCTGTACCTTTTTCACTCATTCTATTTGCTGGAATATGTTTCGGACAGTAGCAATCGATGAGATAATCGTCTTAGTCAATAGTTTGATCGTCACAGGATATCTTTCTTCAAGGCAGCCACCGAAGATTCCATATACAATTCAGATTAAAATATTCTCTAGGAGTTGCGATTTTCTCAGTCAGCATTCGACCCGCAGATTAGCTGAAATTTTAGGCCGTATAGCTCATCGGGGTCTACTTCACTAAGTTACTTTTATTTCGAGCTTGTAGAAATTAAGTCATACCAAATAATACAAGCCTTTAAATGTAAGAGACTCTAAGGGTCTTGATTTATATTATCCAGACTAGCTTACATAGGCATCAAGTAACTAAGTTTTGCTAATTGCCTTCAGAAGGTACGGGCTAAGTATTAGCCTTTGTGTTCTCTTGAAACCTAGCCAAACGTATCCTTGGATGCCAATGATCTTATTAAAATGCCTTTTTGTGAAATATATCTATGTTGTTATTCACTGCTCATGTGACTGAGCGAACGCTCATAGTAAATCAATGGTATCTTCAAGGAACCCAGACACAATCTTCCAGCTGAACTCAGCCATTTTTGCATATCTTCTAAATCAATTTCCAGACCCTTGATCGTTACAGGATGATAAGATGCCCCACAGGAGGCGTAAAAACCCTGCGATACTCGTATCCCCCGCTCGAACTGCCCCGCGCGCTGCGAAACGTGCGAGGCCTCGCCGACCTCTTACAACCATCCAGGAAGAAGTCATCTTAGCAGCCGAAGCTGAAAAACAATTACCTCCACCCGAACCCATCGAAATGGACTCAGAAGATAAGTTTATGGACCTAGTGCTTAAAAACGGACTTCTTCTCTACCCTATACCCGAAAATTTATCACCTACTCTCACTTCAGTCCCCGCACTGAAAACAGCCGTACAAAGGCCCTCCCCGCAAAAGATTCTGAAAGAAAATTCTAGTCAGGGTCTCTCTAGCTTGATTCACGCGTCGACTAAAGTCATCGCAAATGAGCAAGAACTCTGCCCAAGTCTTCCCCAACCCGGGTCGCGTACAACTTCGAGGATTATCGAACGCCCCTCGGTAGCTATGAAAAATGACATAGCTGCTTCATTGTTGGCCTAGCAAAATGCTGGAGCCCAACACCTACGGGCCCTTTCGCCTACAATTGCAGCGAATCTTAAGGCTATTGTGACGTGAAGCATAGCTCGAGTTATTGCAGGTCTTCCTGTCTTTGAACCTCCCCAAACTACTCATAACTTAAAAGTTAGCGTGCAGCCAAGCCCAACAAATGAACCGCTCAAAGTTTCTTCGTACGCAGATGCTGCCAAGAAAAACCTGGCCGTACAGATACAACCTCCAAAGGTTGTACCCAGGACCACCCCCTCGACTAAAAAGCAAAGGCCAGACCCAAGAGTTATAATACGCCTAGCGCCTGACCATTCTTTGCAATATCAAGACTCTCTTCTGGTCCGTACAAAGCTGAGAAGCCTGCTCGAAAAACCAGAATTGATCAAAGAAATCAGGCTGGTTCCTTCTGGAATAGCCCTCGTGGCCCCCTCATCTGATCAAATTCCTGATCTCATTCAAGCAACCATTGCGTTACAACCCGCCACAGGAGTTGTACCAATCAAAAGACAAGAAAAACGAGAGAATTTCCTCCTCAGCCCAGTCCCAAAATACGGGTACAACGCTTCTGGATCTCCTGAAGCTCTCTCTGATGCTGACATCCGGGAAGAACTTGCAGCGGCGAAAATTGACACAAAATCGATTTTCTCTATTAGTTGGACACGTAATTCACTTGCATCTCCTGACTGGGAAGGGACTCTCAGACTAGTAGTTGCAAAGCCAGCTGCAGATAAGCTCCCTTCCAGCGTCCGCTTTTTTACACGGTCCGCTAAAATTCGTCCGGCCGGCAATCGCCCACACCTACGTGTCTGCCCACGCTGCCACGGGCTTCACAATATTAACGCCTGCACTCGTACAGCTCGTTGCGGAAATTGCGCGTCAGACTTTCATAATGGACCGTGCGCGACTCCCACCAAGTTTCTGAATTGTGCAGGCCCTCATGCTGCCTCAGCTTCCGGATGCCCAGCTCGGCCTTTTCGAGCTAACAGAGTATTCGTTCGCCCTGACAAGAAGAGAATACGGATTATGCGCCAGGAGAGACATAAGTCCTGGCTCGCTGTTAATCCCCCCCGCCCCCTTCTGAACCCCTCACTGGGTCTCCATTGGCACAACCCTCGTGCACCAAGTTTCCAGCTCCTTTTCTCACAGTAGGCTCGGCATCTAGGTTTGCTCCCCTGATTTCCCTTGAGGAGAAACAATGAGGGACCGAAACCGGGGTCGAAGAAGGCAGAAGGCAGAAGACTACAAGTCTCTACTTCTTCCAGATCAATGTAGGTAGACGTGGCCCTGCTCACAATGCCGCCCTAGAACTTGCCTCCAAATGTGGGGCTGATGTGATACTAATATAAGAGCCCTGAGTATCCACAGACCTAACTCGTAGAATAACAAAAACCCACCGAAGATTCCAAGGCTTCTCTCCACTTCCCAACTGGACAGTCCGGCCTCGAGTAATGACGTACATCCGCAAGGGCCAAGGACTATCTCCTTTCCAGCCGGCCATAAATTCCTGAGATCCTCTGCAAGTCCGGATTTCACGAAAAAACAAACAAATGGTTGAATGTTGGAATGTCTACAACGCCCCAACCGGAGCAATTGGCTCCGGGGAGGGCCTTCAGCATCTAATCACTACCACAGGTAATCCGGATATTCTTGCGGAAGACTTTAAAATCCACCGTTCATCCACCGTTCGTCCTGGGATCCGAAAGCTAGGTGTGACAGTGTGGAAGGTGACTCTTTACTCTCCTGGACAGCCTCGAAAGGACTTAGAATATTGAATCAACAGGGAACTCCTACTTATGACGCTGGGGCTGCTCTCGACCTCTGTTTTGTCTGAAACAGCGTGAGTGCTTCTTGCGAAATTCGATAAGAACTGGAAGTCGGCTCTGATCATAGGACAATCCTATGTCAAGTATTTGATTGGGAAGCCGAGAAACCTGTACCAGGTAAGCTTCAATTTGCTGCCTGTAACTGGGAATTATTCCAAGACTTTGTCACAAATCGGCTTGCAACACCTCCCTCCCATATCATTGAAGAGGAGGCCTCAACCATTGTCAACTTTATCTCAGGGGATCTCCTCGCTTCCTGTCCAAGATCACGCAAACAAGTAACATGTCAAATTGGAGCGTAGGCGTTTGACCTGAAGTGGAATAGAAGGGCGAGAAGAGGTCGGATGGATCGCGAGGGATGACTAAAGATCTACTGGAGATAATTTGGAGAACTAAAGGTTTAAAAATGGGTAATATAAGTGTCTAAAGAGTCTAAAGATACGAGCAAATACTAGTGGTGACTAAAGGTGCTAAAGGTAACTAGTGGTGACTATAGGTGACCAGAGGTGATCCGAAGGTGGTGGTTGTGACAGAAGACTAAGCGTGAAGAACTCTATAGCTACAGGCCAAGCCATCATACATATACTTGCTTTCCTCCCACTAGCTCATCATAACATAGGCCCTAAACTAGTACCAACATAATAACCAGTGCCAAGAACTATTCTGTTGTCATAGCAACATCAGGAGAAGGGTAAAATTATAAACTAAAGTTAGGATGGGAAGGAGAATCCTTACATAACAAAAGCCGGCTGGTAGAGTAAGGAATGCAGTCAAGCCCATTTAAAAATTTGCAGAGCTTGGTGCGCGGGTCTATTAGCAACTTCTGAACAACGAGCCTTTGGCAAAGTAGTGCGGAGATCAAAGCGGGTATTCTGGCACAACAAAGTAGAGCAAGTCTCAAATCTTAAAGAGGCCTACCAAGTCCCGCGCTGGCATAAGAGAGAGGCGCACTGCCACACTCCTCTATTAAAGGGACCATCGGGCCCGATCTTCCATCCAGCAGAGAAGGCGCAGCTCTTCCAAGAAGCACTTCTTAGCTGTCATCTTAATCAAGCAGATTTTGTTGATGATGCAATTCTTACAGTGGCAAAAAGATCTATTGCATGGCCTCCGCTCACAGACCTAGAGATATACAACTCGTGCTGCACTGTCCCGACATCTGCTCCTGGGCCTGACAATATTACTGCAACAGTACTTCGGCGTGCCTGGCCAATAATCAGACCTAGGTGTCACAGGCTCATACCTGGTCATCATTAGGCTGCTGCCTAACAAATGATGCTTGAACTCTTCCAACCATATTAAACATCATACATGTCATGAACCCCTCCACGACTCATTAGACCCAAGTATAGGCCTTGGCCCAGTTCATGCAAATCTATTCTTAAATGTCAAATTTAGATTGTAGACAGGACGACTCGAACACCAGTCGTGAGTCATCTAAGCCACATGCATCATAACTATTTTAATAACTAAAATTGCTAACATTAAAATAGACGGAGATGCTAGTGTTTGTCAGAGGACAGGTCATGATCTATTTTGAGAATGGTATGAAATGAGGGAACGAGATCACAGTCTTGTAAATAAATAGGAGGCTTTCAGTCATGTCTCTGCTTGTTACTTTAAGATTTTCATTTGTATCTAGCTGTCACGGTTTCATTACAAAATGCATGAGCAATGTTGTAGGTACAATATTTTAATTATAATTCTCTGAAGAGAGAATTTCTGTACTTAATGACTACCTATATATACAGACTGAAATACCCCTCCTCGATAAGGTTCTCTCTATGACCTGTCAACTCAG